CCACCTTATTTTGCATCTATTTCTGCCTCCTGACATTTTTTTGCTCACCACCAGTGCCGAACAGCCACACTTAAATCCCAATTTGGTTGTTGATTTAAGTAATCAGTAATGTTACATACAGACACAAAGTATTATCGTGCATTACAGCTCTAGACCGTCTATACACATGTGGATGGAGTTTGTCTGTATCTGGCAGGTCAAGCCACTGCCAGTCCGAATCAATCGCGGATAACCGCAGGAATTCCTGAGACTCGGCTGTGTGCAACACAAGGTAGCACTAAGCTGTAACGGACCGGAGCGGACACGCAATGCACACGTATTGGTTTCATGCTGGTGCTGAAGGGTGACATCTACTGGATCAAAAAGAGACACATTCTTTCTTTGAGGCAATCCCACCAACACATCAAAAACAATGTCGCCTAAAGGAATCTGTCCTGTACACAGCATATCTAGACCTGTAAACTGGAATACCCTTGGAAAGAAAGGTCAGATTAGTTTGCCTATAAGATTGAAGAGATCAGAGGTCCCACATTCTTAAATTTGGTTGGTCAGTGATGGAGAAGTGATATTGATGAGCACAGCAGTGTTTTCAAAGTTCAACTGTACTCATCTGACGGTGATCAGATAGTGCTTTTGTGCTTGGGACGCAAAGCGCTGAAAACACTGAAATGCATTGGTTTAGTATAAAATGGTTGCTGCCAGCGTTATTGCAAACAGGCCCTTACACTCATGAGGAATCTTTATTTTCAAGATGAAAGAGAGTGGTCTTGACATAAATATGACAGACTCACTTTGATTCATATTATTTTGTTTTTAATTTTTTGTTGCACATTTTTAATTTCAGAATTCTTATTCAGTGTCTTCATGATACTTTAGATCAAGTGTCTTTTTCCTAATTCAAACCTCCTTTTTTCCATTAGCCTGAATAAATGATGAATTATAATTGGTTAGCCTAAGCTGAGTTATGACTTACTGACACTTCTTCTGGTAACAACCTGATTCAGTTAAGAAAATCTTTGGCAGACGTGTTGCATGCTGCTCCTGGACCGACTGCCTGGAGGGGTCTGGTAGACTGGCACTTGGCTCTTCCTTTGATGGACTATTGAACTTTTTGGTAATTTTGGGGAGGACTGATTTCTTTTCAAACTTAAATTCATTCTTTTCTGTGACGGTGCGTGGATCGGTGTGAAGGGGATCAACGGAGTTGGGCTTTTGGGGGATGGGAGGAAGGACCTGGAGCCCAGTGGTTTCTTGTTCAGGCCACTGCATAACTCCACTCTGCCTCAAGGCCTCCCTCAAATCTTGGTTCTCCTTTTTCTGTTTGAGGTAGAGCTTTTTGATGGAATGTAGCTCATTAGCTGAACTGTCGTTCTCACTTTTGTTCTCTTGGACTTTCATTTGTAACATATCATTGACACATGTCAATGCCTTGATCCTATCCCTGAGCTGTCTGTTTTCACTATGGTAGATAGGGAGCATCCTAATTTCCTCTGGAGGCAGCATTAAATGTCTGCGCTTCAGCTCCTCACACTGCTTCTCCAGGTCATCTATAATTCGACTTTTAGCCTCCGACTGTCTTTGCAAGTGAGTCACTTGAGTGGCCCTGGCAAGAAGCCTGTCTTCTAAATTCTTAATTGTCATGTCTGTATCGGACCTCTTGTTCAAATGTACTTTGAAAATCATTGGAGGCTTGTTGCTCATTGTGTGTCTTTCATCTCTCTCTCGTTCAAGCTGTTTGCTCAGTTCTTCACATCTTGTCTTTAATTTGAGAATAACCTTATCTTTTTGGGACTCTTCTGTGATTTTGGCTCTGAGTCCATCTTTTTTCAGATTGCTATTCTCCTTCTGGAGTTTCTCCACCTCAAGCACGAGGACATGATTTTGATCCACAAGTTCTGTCTCGTTCTTTTTTGAGGTCTGTTTCTGGTCTTTGATCTGTTTCTTTAAAATAAGTCTCTCCTTTTTGTAGCCTGAAATCTCTCTGTCTTTGGTCTCATGGTACAGTTGAGCTTCTTCTTTCAAATGTTGCAGCTCTTGTTTTGACGTTTCAGCCGTTTCTTTTCTCACATGTGCCTGTTTCCTAAGTTTAGTGACTTCCCTATTCAAGGCTACATTCTCTGCTGTGCTTTTCGGATTGGCAAGTTCATGTTTCAGTTGTGTGTTTTCATTTACTATGACTTCATGAAGTATCAGCTGTAATTCCAATAATTTAACTTTACTTTCTAGCTTAGCTTTTTCCTCTAACAATATAGGATTAACAGCCTCACCTGTATTGTTGATCGTTTTGTCCTCTGCCTCCATCTTTATCTTCTCAGTGAAAAAGACTGTGAATCACAAGTTGTGGTTTCTTTGTTCAGGGTTGATCCTCTCTCCTACTTGCTTTGTTTGCCAAACTCTAAATCATATGTTATGATGACATCATCACATTCTTTGATCTCAGGGCAGATTTTGTCTTTATGACATCATCACATTCTTTGATCTCAGGGCAGATTTTGTCTTTATGACATCATCACATTCCATTTTTTGAATGACCAATCATGTCACAGGAAATTCCCTCCAAGTTTTTTTTTCAAATGTTGTGAAGAGAGATAGTGTAGCAGAGAGTAAGGTCTAGACCAGTGGTTCTCAAACCTTTTAGACTGCGTACCACCTCCAAAAAAAGTGCCACCATTATGTTAGACATTAAAATACACTGTAGGCCTATTTCTACACACATTTTACGCAGGAGGCAAATATATTCATAAAAAGAATATTATTTATTATTGACTGTTGGCAGCCACACTATAGTACTAATAAGGGCTAGAGCTAGAACTGGCACTTAAACTAACACAACTCTGACATTGACCCAAATCAAAAAAAGTGCAGAACAATAAAAATGACAACTTCATACCAACAACCTGTTTGAGAATATTTAGTCTCCAGTGTTTCCCACACAAAGACGATACCTGGGCCTGAGTATATTTCCGACCTGTTCTTATTTAATTTTTGATTTATTCATAAAATTGCTGCCCGCCTGAGAGAGCGAGGGAGAGAGAAAGAGAGCTGGGGAGAGACTGGAGAGAGAGAGAGAGAGAGCGCGTGAGAGAGTGCAGGCTCCGTGCAACCAGAGCCTCTGTACTATAAGGCTCTGCGTTCAACATAGCAAAACTCCCCATAGTTAAGACAGCAAAATAGAGCAGAATCACATCAGCTTCAGAGCAAGAGAGAGAGAGAGGGTGAGCGACTGTCCGTACACTCTCTATGCATCACAACAGAAGCATCTCCTGGCTCTGTTTTAAGAATGTTAATGTACAGCTGCTTGCCACTGATTCTGTGCTGCTCTCCAATAAATAACAGAATATCTGTTAATGTAGGTCTACAGCTGCTTGCTGTTGTTTCAGTTCTGAACTATAACGGAATATTGAGTGGAACTTTTCAAAACGCGAGGCGAACTCCTGTTGTTGTTTATGTCTGTGCGCGCGAGCATAAATTGAGCAGATTAAAGTTGTTTGTTGCAAAAACTAGATTAATTTAGAGGGGAAAACACATTTGATATAAATACAACCCAATAGATACAAGACAGATAAGATCAGAGTACGACAAAAAAAAATTACGTTTTATGCTGAACAGGTTTTATTTTTTATATTGTGGAGATTTCTTTGCGTACCACCACAGGGAGCCCTGAGTACCATAGTTTGAGAACCACTGGTCTAGACCAGGCGGCAACCTTCGGTCTTGAAAAATTAAGCCAAGGCGGAAGTGCTAAATCCTGCAGTTCTTCAAGTGTCCACTGGAGGCTGGCTGCAGGAACCCAGTAGACCCGCACTAGACTAGGATGTCTGCCTGGAACAACAGGGCTGTGTTGGTAAGCACATAAAACATACTGCCTACTACATAATCAGAATATAAATATACTGCACATTAACTTGAATGTTAGTACGCTGTTAACAACAAACTATTGCTTGCTGTACTTCGGGTCCGAGCTTCATTCAATGAGCTAGCATCAAGCTAGTGCGTCAAACGTGTTCTCTACATTCTCATTTTAATAATATTTGGCAACATGTAAATGGATTTCAGCATGGAATTTTTTATTATAAGCTGCCGGTTGGCTGGCTAGCCAGCTCTGCGATTGGACAGTCTGAGAGCCGCAGTGCATTGTGGGACGGGAAGTCTGATACATTAAAGCATCCGGTTTATTTACAGAATGAAACACTCCGTTTTGATGGTTCAGAACAATGACCGTTTGTGTGTTTGTTTATGTGTGTATAAGGTTTATATCAAGTTTTATACCAAATACATTGTATTATCTCGCACTGTCGAGGCTGAATCTGTAAAATTACCGCGGGAATTCCTCTGTCTCGGCACTCCAGCTGTCCGTCTGGGTTCTCTGTGCTGTGTGCGCAGCCTGTGGGTGTTGAAGGAGGAGGGTGCACCGAGCTGTAATGGATCAGAGAGGACACACATTGCACACGTATCTGGTGGAAGTTCTGAGTAGTAGGGGGCGGTATAACAGAACTATGTTTCTTTATGACAGTGCAGGTGTACGGAAGAGGATAAGGGCCACTGATTTTTTTATTTATTTTTTTCTGACTTTTTTTTTTAGGATTCTGACTATAGTCTCAGAATTCTGGCTCCAAATAAAAGTCAGAATTCTGCCAAAAAAGTCAGAACCAAAAGCTGATTTTTCAGTGGCCCTAATCCTCTTCCGTACAGTTGCACTTCAAGACCTTCAAGTTATTTTTAGGGCTTCTTTGCCTTCATTAGATAGGACAGATGAAGAGGGACAGAGTCTTGCCTACAGTCGCAGCGATGTGGACCATAGCCTCTGTAAATGGGGTGTGCGACATAACCACTAAGCTATCTGGCGGCCAACTGTGGTAGTGAGATGAGGACAAAAAAGGAAAAAGGCTTTGATCCCCACTAAAAATAACCAGTTCAGTTATATAAATCATTGTTATCACATGGTACACTTCTAGAAAATGGATGCTTGAAAGCAATTAAAGAAGAAAAGAATCCAAGAATAGATAAACCACTCTGTTTTTACTTAAGCAAGCTGAGCACAGAAGAATAGCTAAAAATGATATACAAGGTTTACGGATTTTATCAGTGACAAATTAGTGAATTAAATGAGTTTGCAGCTCTTCATAACTAACACTGCCTTACAGAAAACTTGTAATTCCCGTTGCCATGGTAGACAGCAGTTAACATTGGACCCATTATGTAAAAGAAGAACAACAAAACATCTGCGTCTTTGACCTGTGACCAAACCAAACCAGTGAAAAACCTCTAAAGTACTGGTGTGCACTGTGGATAGTGACTCAAATTATCACAACACCAACTCAAAATAATTAGCTGCAGTAATGTGTGACTGGCATTAACATAGAGAAGCTACATTACCACGTAATTTCTCGAGAATGTGTCTGCTGTTCTGTCTTGGTAGAAATATTGAAATATAAAAAGCAATACAGCCTTCGCCAGGAAATCAAACACAGAAACTAAATGTGCTTCTTATCTTAACATTGACTCTCCATATAAGGCATGAGTTTGTTTAGTTATAAACATTTTTTTGGTCTTTGCACTCGGTTATCTAAAAAGCAATGTGCACTTGTCCACACCTGGGGGTTAGATGGAGCGTTATTTACAGCGCTATTTCCGCAGACTCTTTTTTGTCATCACATCTGAAGACTTCTTTCTGAATTTCAGCAACAACAAAAAAAAATCAACATTTTAGGTGTCTTACCATTCAGTTTGTCGATGTGTACACCTTCCTATTGGTATAGACACACCACCAAGGACAGAACATCACTAACCAGATTCTCACTCTGATGTTAAGCATAGATACAAGTTTCCAAAGCCAGATAAAATGGAAGGCAGGGGTTAAAAAGAAATATTCAAAGACAGTAATAGGGTTCAGGATTATCAAATTTAAACTGTTAAGCATAACAAGACCTCATTCACCACATATATATTTACCCATTTTCCCTTCCCATGAGATTGTTCTGTAGCGAAAGAGGAAAGGGTTAGAAAAGGGGAAATCTTCTCCCATTGACTCGTTTTTGAAGACACCTTTAGAGTTCCTCCCTACATATCAAAACCGCCTTTCATTTTGTAAGGCAAATGTTTTGGGTATACCTTATCACAAGGGCTCTGCAAATCCTGTCAGTTCAAGAGCCCCGCTGCTTTATCCAGTTGTATTGTCACCAAAGCAGGGCAGTAACAGCAAAAGTAAGCCTCTAGGTTATTACAGCAGATCCTCTGAAAGAGTCTTCTGTTCTCCAAAAAGTTCAAAACATAGCTCCAACCATTTGACAAAATGCTCTGACACCAGAAAACACGCCAAGAGCGCCTGTAAGAAAAGCCCAGCAGTCAGCCTTTGAAGTTGGTGTTACGCTGCACCATTTTGGTCCAGGAGGCTAACTTAGTATGACCTTCCCTGCTATGTTCAGGGCCATCCTTGAAGCGGTGACTCCGCTTCCGATGTCTAGTTTCTCTCCTGAAACCTGGCTTTTTTGCTAAATTAGCTAGCTGCACAGCTGTGCAAGCTCTGGTTCAGGAGAAGCATTGGGGAGCTTGGAGTTGAAGATCTGCAGAGAGTCCTTGATGCGTGCCACCTCTCCGGCTGACAGCTTGAGCCGATGGCGCAAAAGACAAGAAAACAGATCGAGAGGCTGCGGTGCCGGTGGAGACAGCCGGTTGATCCGGTCTCTCATCTCCAACAACATCAGAAAGGCTGCGTCCTGCGTACCCTGTGTGTATGGATAGTCTAACTGCAGAATCAAATCCTTGATGCCCTCTGGGTCAAAGTGCATGCTGTATCCAAACACTTTAAGCGTGTTGATCTTCATGTAACCCAGGTTGGACGTCTGGTCATCGAGGTCCAATGGTTCATAGAAGAGAGTTTCATTCACTGTTGGATCATCTGTGATAATGCGGCTCCTCAGGTAGATGTGCACCGTTTCAAAGAAGGACTTCCACTTGTTGCCCAGAGTCAGTGTCCAGTTGTAACACTGTGCTGTTGCAACAGCGTCCAGTCGAGTTCTCTCCCAGTCAGGGAAGTCAGGCTGGTTCACTGGCATGAACCAGCTCTCAGAGTGACTCCCTCCAAAAGGATTTACATATATCGCAGGCACAGGCTCCAGTGTTGAATTCTTAGTCAAGCAAATCTGAAAAGAAATGCCCAACAGCATGTGGATGAGATTGGACTTGTTCTTGTTGCTCTTGAGTGTCAGCAGCATCCTCTTCCTCCAGGCAGGATTAAACCAACTTCCTAGGCGCACGTCATTGCTGATGTAGATGGCATGCACCTCTAATCTGCTGTCCAGCCGCTGCAGCAGATACTTGACCTGAAGACAGAATGAAGAACTGTTAGAACCTTACAGGTAGACAGATATGAAATATTGTAATATTATTTAATGATGGATTAAAAAAAACACAAAGACATTTCTACAGCTGTTTCAGCAGCAGGAACTTCCCCAAGGACTAGGTACCTAAAATGAAACCATTTTGACATGTGCAGAGCTGTCCTGCTGGTCTAATATGCTGGAAAAAAGCATAAGAAAAATGCTTCTCCTTCATGTTAAGGATCAAGTCATAGATGGAAAATCTACCTGTGAGAAACTGATTCAGAAAGCAATTTGCACTTGTCCATACCTGGTGTTAAATGGAGCGTTGTTTACAGGGCTTTATAAGCAAACCTTTTTCAACACATGTAAATCTTTTTTTCGGTTTTTCAGCACTTTGTAGTGACACATACAGGGTTCCTGTCCCGCATGTCATCCCCCACTCTCTTTCTCTGATTTCCGATTCTATCCACTGTCTTGTCTTTGCATTAAAGGCATAAAAAGCCCCAAAATAAATAGCCTGATGGGACCAGTCTGACATTGAGTCTGGTCATGATGTTATTCCGCTTATTGTGGTCCACATAATTGAGTTCTGTTATGACCCAGTAAGTCTGAGCTGAGAAATAAAACAATAAAAAAAAAAAAAATTAGGTTAACTTCAGTGAAAACTTAAAAAAAATAATATTGCTATAATAAATGTCTCTGTTAGAACTGTAGACCTAAAATACACATTCATTTATTTGGATTTTTGTTTACTTATATTCTCATGGACTGTTATACTTGCTACTAATGTTATATTTTCCTCATTGTGTATTTTAATATTTGTCTCACCACAGTATGAGCATGAGTGGATTGATAAAAATATTTTTAAAAAAATCTGAAAACCTCAGCATCAGGCATATCCAAGTCCAAGTTCAGGTAGTGGTCTAGGGATGCGGCGATGCTTGGTCGGCAGGAACCGAGATGAAGTAGGTTGCCGTGGTGACAGGCTCCGCAGCGGGTTGCGTTGTCAGTGGCACAGGACAGGCAGGAGGTGGAGGAGGTGCCCACGATGCAGGGAATGGCTCCCTGACAGGTGGGCTGCTCCAGGGGGCAGATACAGCTCTTCACCTCTTCAGAGAAGGAGCCCAACACACCATGCTCGTTACAGTAGATCAGAGACTGCGCCCTGTTCAACCAAAACCCAACCGGCCTGCAGAGGAGAGGAAACACAACAGGGCTGTCATGATTTCAGTTCTGTATCTCATATTATTCCCTCACTCCCTGATTTCCAACTCTATCCACTGTCCTATCGCTGAAAATAAAGGCACAAAATGCCCAAAAATAAATCTTTAAAAAAAAAGTTGACCTATTATGCTGATCCCCATTTTAAAACTCACCAATAGTTTAACAATGTTGGATTGCCATTTTAACGTGGCCGAAGATTCAGCTCATGAGGTAAACGCATGTCCAAAGTGCGCTATGCTTCTTGTTCTGCTTAACACATGTCAGTTCACTAAGACTTTCACAAGACCATTTCAAGCCTCTATAGGCAGGTTAAGCCAATTTGCATGGGCTGTTCTACCAGCACACAAGCGGCCCTCCCCATGCAGCTTTGCAGCCTTGCAGCGTTCTGCCCCCCCTCCCTGGAAGGCTTCCAGACAGCTGGCCAATCAGAAGAAAGTAGGCATGTGGGGGTGGGGTGCATTACAGAGACAATTTGGCACCTCTGGAGTGTCTTCATTTGTCAGTCCTTGAGGTTGCTGCCTGGTACAAATATGACACGTTTTCTGAAAATGAAAAGGGCGGGTGTTTTGGTACGACATCGGAGATGAAAAGGCAGGCATACATAAATTACCATCCACTTTGGTGCTGTAGCAGCAGCAACAAGTTCTGACTGAAAATTGGCTCAGCAGAGATTCTATCCCCAGGCTAAGTTCAGGAAATCACACACCACGTTGCCCAAATGCTCCAGCAATTCCTTCCCCCCAGGCCTATGTAAATAGACAAAAATGGATGATGATAAAACAAATGGATTTGTGCAGAAGGAAATAGGGAGCTGTTTGCAGCTCAGCAGCCTCTGATGACTTGTTGTTGCTGTTACGAGGTGGTTTAAGACTCTGAGTGACAGAGGGTAAGGTGGAGAGTGAGGGTGAGGCTGCAGGACAATGAGTGAGGGAGAGAAATACAGACAGAAAGCTGAGGCAGAGTGTGTGAGGTGGGGGAGATGAAGTCGTGGGTACTGGGGAAAGAACTGTCAGGAAAATTAAAGTCCTCTGTAAACAAGTGTCGGGCTGTCAGACTGGGAGAGGACTTGATTACAGCACGCTACAAGACCACGTACCTCACCTCCACAAAGGCTCCCAGCGCCAGTTAGTAGACCCTTCATCTCACACCTTCCCTTCTTTCTTTCTGTCTGACTTTGTCTCCCTCTTCTCATCACATCTCGTCTGTCTCCTACAGCTTGTCCAACAGTGTTCCCTTCTTCTCGTCACACCCTCACTTGAAAAAAAAACAACATTTTTCCTGTCCTGCGTGGCAACTTAACTGCTACATTATGACAGCTGAGTGAAGCTTGTGAGGGTACTTTGCTCAGGAGTGAACCACAGGTGTAGAATTCACTCAGCAAAATGAGTCATTTAGCCTGTCACATGGGTTTTAACAACAGTGCTTAAAGGCTTTATATGCGTTATTTTTTTGATCCAGTAGATGTCGCCCTTGAGCACCAGCATGAAACCAAAACAACTTGTTTTGTTGTGTTAGCATGCTAATGCCAGCGATCTTTATTATGCTCGTATCTTCACACTGCATGTACATTTACCTGAAATGAGCGTGATCTAGAAACACAGTTAAGCAGTGAGTACAGTATGTTATTCTTCTTTTCTCTAGTCCCTCAATTAAACAACTCAATTATACAAGAGGGGAGGAGTCAGCCGGCCGTCCTGGCGATGTAAACAAACTGAAGATAGGACTCTGAAAACTCTGAAAACATCACAGACAGTGGGACTCGGGTGTTACACCCATCGTAGACAGTCATGACTCACAGAGTTATTTTCAGAGGATATACTTGATTTATATTACATTTAAGTGTGAAAAATCACATATAAAGCCTTTAATGTGTTACTGCAGTAGGTGTGTTTTCAGACACCTGCCCATTTGTGCAACCCAAAACCCTACGAGTTAACTCTATGTTGGACATTTCTGCACTATTTCCTATGCGACAACAGATCTGAAGTCGTGAGTGTGTTCTAGGCATACTTTATGTTTCCCCCTTTTGATGGGACATGTAGATGTAGTATTGTATACACAGTGTGGTTGCTTTTTTTGTATGTTTGCTGTGGTAGCTGTAACTTGTTTATAATACATCCTGCAGTGTCACAACTCACAGGAGGTCTTTGCACATATTGAGTTGTTCCAGAGGTTTTCAACATTATCAAAGAAATCAAAGACCTCTAATGGTTCGGTCAGTCATCAACAGAGAAGAAACTAGTTACCCCAGCTTTTTGAGTTTTAGTGTATTATTCTTTTCGATTTCTGATGGTGAGAACACCTGAAGCTCCGCCCTGCTCCGCTGCTCACTTGTTGTCTTGATTTGAGGTGTCTCTGAATAAAACTGAGCTCCATTAAGGCCATGACACACCAAGCTGACGGCAAAGGACTAGTGGCGACGATGGCCGCTTGTGGCATTGCATCACGTCCTGGCCAAAAAGTTGCACTTGAACACATCACAAAGACTACAGCCGACGGCCGACCACCAAGTACGTTCTGCGCGTGCCTGAGGTGCGGCGGTATAGCTCTTTGTTATGATACGAGAAGACCATTTTCACACCGCTGTCACTCACCACTCGTATTATAGCCTACTAATGGAGAATAATGTCTGATAAAAAGTAGAAAATGGCGTTGGCGTTGTCAGCTCTTGGTCTTTTAGTTGAAAAAGAATAGAAGAGACGGAGGAGACAGATAAGGAGAAACCACACTAATGGGTGAAAGCATGGATACTACAGCAGCATGCTCAAGGGGCTTTACTGAACCTGAGAGGAGAGCTGGAGAGAAATGAAACCTCCCAACAGCCAATCAGAGAGATCCCTCTCACCGACGCCAACCGGTGAGTTACGTTTCAATGCAAGATATTGTGCCAGATATCTACATCTGAGAGTCGTGGCTCGGGTTGTTGGTGAGTGGAATCTGTTAGTGTGTGGTGCGCTGTTTTGGTCATACTGTTGCTCTCCACAAGATAGGACCGCTCACTGACGATCTCCTTGGTATTTCAGGACCTTTAGGTTTATTTACTATATTAGTTTAATTTATTTTAACAATGTAATGGTTTTAGGTTTAATCATATATGGGATGCAAAAAACAAAAAAAATGTCTTTTGATTTAAAAGACTCCTATGTCAACATTACAGCACATTTGTTGTCATGGTAAAATCATTCGCGTCTTGCTCCCACATTGTCTTTGCTCCGTGTCTGCTGGGGTATAAAATGATCTCAAATTTAAAAAAATGCTGTAAAAAGCAATGGAGCAGTGTCTGTACTACACAGCGGCTGTTGTCAACAGACTGTTGTCATAGAGACAGGACAGACGCACAAACTGCTTCATGCAAACCCTCCTGAGCAAACAGGAAATGCTTTTCTGCCCGGACAAAAAGGCTAACCAACATCAGAACTCATACTGGTGCAACGGGCTAACGGTCATTACAGAGCATATTACATATCTGCAATTTCATATTAAGTATTAAAATGTTCCAAAGCGGAAAAAAAAAAACAGATCTACCAACAGATTTTCAACACAGTTCTGCCCCAAGCCAAAGAGAGAGACGAGAGGTTGTGGAGCAGCTGCCTGAATAATGAATGTAGATTTGTTTCTACCTCTAAGGAAAAGATCAAGTCAGCACAAAGTCGGATCAGAAGCAACGGCTAAAAACATTTCTCAACTGTTGAAGTCATTACAGAATTATACAGAGACTTCTGCTTATTTAAATGTTGACGGTTTTTCTTTTGCGTGCAGTTATTGTCAGCCAAAAACTAGAGACCCTCCGACCCAACCATGTGAATCTGTTTAAAGGAAGTGACACTGTACCCTTGTGGCATCATGTCCCCTCCCCCTGTGTGTAAAAAACTTGTGAAGAATTCAAAGCTGACTTCCTTCCAAGAATCATGGATCTGGGTTTTCCCATGCTGTAATGTTAAAAAGCCTTCAGCTCTAATGAATCATCTCGAATCAGCAGCCACAACTTTGAGTCATGACAAATTACGCCTTCCTCATTTATTTAGTTTTCTGTCAGTGTGTCTCAGTGGTGCTGTACCTCTCTCGTGGCAGACTGATGCGAGGTTGTTTGGGGCAGCGTTTGCTCAGGGTGAACAGCTTCCTGATGATCTTCTGGGCTTTGCTCTGCACCAGGGCCGTGCTGGACTCCAGCTGGGCGTATCGCTTCTGGAGGGACAAGTCGGCCGACCAGAACTTGGCAATCGTGGACACATTCAAGAACCTGTCAGTGGGCAAGCGCTTCAGGAGGGCCTTGAATTCATCTGTAGAGAATGACAGAGACAAAAAGGGGGTAAAAATTGGACCCACTTTAATAATTTGGCATCAACAAAAACTGCTTTTCAAGCACTGGAAACCCTTGCGTCACAATCTGTTGCTTCCAACATGGTGTGCTCAGATAATGACTGAGGAGCTAAAGGACTTTCATGTGTCATTAGAAAACAACAAAAAGCTGTTACATTCTAATGAATTGTCATGACACAGTAAACACCTGTGCTTCAATCTGCAGTGATGCTCATTCCCCTCACCATAAGACACTCATTTTATTCCCAGCAGCATCTCTTGCAACATTGTCATTTGATAATGATTGACAGCATGTTGTCATGTGCAGATGGCCTTTTTTATTCACATTGTTATTTCTTACGTTAAAAGGCTGAACCAAAAAAAATCAATAATCACCAGCTGACCAAAAGAAGCATGCGGCTCAAAGCTGAGAGTTTTTTCTCGGTCTCTCCTGGTGTTCCCTTCTTAAATACAAATGTCACAAAACACTTGAGATGTTATTCACAGACCATTCTGCAGCCATCCCAGCAAGTTTGTGTCAAAACCAACAAAGCAAATAAGAAGGGACTGATTTGAGCTGCTAAAGGTTGATAACTATTTTAACAAACATCACACGAGCTTCAGGGATCTTCAGCAGCATGGCAGCCGTAACTACTAAAGTATCTGAATGAGTTTGATTTATAATGGCTGAAGGCACAGAATGGTCCATACTCAAAGACTTTTTTTACAATATTTAACAGATGTTGAAAATGTGAGAGACTCCACAAATCATGACAAATAATTATAGATTTAACATTTTTGTTCCAATAGCGTGTGGAGAGAATCAGTATGACCAAAACAGCGCACCACACACTAACAGATTCCACTCACTAGCAACCCGAGTCACGACTCTCAGATGTAGATATCTGGCACAATATCTTGCATTGAAACGAAACAAATGCTAAATGGACTTGATCTTTTCTAGTCTTCTGACTACTCAAAGTGTTTTTACACCGCAGGTCACACCTACACATTCACACACTGATGGTAGAGGTTTACTTTGTAAAGTGACCATCAGTATGAAATAATCCCATTCACACACCACCAACAAAGCAGCAGGAGCAACTTGGTGTTCGGCGCCATGCCCTATCGGACACATTGAACATGTGACTGCAGGAGCTGGGGGATTGAACCCCCAACCGTCCGGTTTAGAGACCAAATGACTCAACCAGCTGAGACACAGCCGTCCCCAAACAAACATGGCAGACGACTTACAGGAAGAATTGGTGAAAGTTGTTGGACTAATTCAAACAAAAAATTAACACATTCGTTACAGTGTTGCTTCCCTCTTTAGTCAGCTTGTATCCCAAAGTGGATAACATGTCATTCTACGTAACAATCAGCTCTCCTCAGGCTTCCCCCAACACAACAGGACTTTGGATTGTAAGTATGCAACATTTATTGAAATCTGAATAGAATAGAATCACTTTATTTATCTCACGGTCACTTTATTTATCTAATTTTTACCTTTACAGTTATTTTGTATATATTAGTTCTGTTGTTCCATTATTCACCATGCACCTTAATAACTTATCATTTAGTATTTGCCTACTTGCACATAGTTCTGTATACATATATTTATTTCTCATTTACTGCACATAGTTCTGTTTACATCTGGTCACTACTGCACATAGTTATTAGTTAGTCCGATCACTGTCCACTTATATCTACTCTTTTATATTTTGTATTTTTAAGTTAAGTTTAAGCTTTAAGTTGTATTTAAATTGACTCTTTCTATTTAGGTTAAAATGTTTCGTTTACTTGCACTGTTGTTAATTTACTGCTCTGTGTGCCTTTGAATTGCCCCCCGGGGACAAATAAAGTTTTTTGAATTGAATTGAATTGAATTGAATAGAATAGAATTACTTTATTGATCCCAAACTGGGAAATTGTGGCGTTATCTGTGTGGCCCAACACTCTTCTGAGCAGACTGGATCAACAGCTAACAACCCCTCAGACCACAGGAAACCTGACAAAATAATCTCTTGAAAATCTCGCATTACAAGATAGGCAACCCAAATCTCCACTCCCAACAATTCTAAACAAAGTCCTGATGTTTTCATGGTTCAACAGACTATCTTGCCAGAGTTTCCTGTGGTGTGATTCAGTCTGCTCCCAAGAACGATGGGACCACTATACGATTTCAAAACTCCCCTGATTTACTTATGGAGCAATGTGAATACATGGTTTCTGGCTCATTATGTCCTGAGTGCACAAATGAAAAATTCAAATTAGATGGCCATTACTTCAAATGTGTGTCTGTGTGAATTTCATAAAAAAACTGAGCACCATTGGGCACGGCTCAAACCTCATGTTGGATTTGCCAAGAGTTCCCTCTGAGGTCGTTGTAGTTCCATTCTGAACCAGTGGACAAATATTATGCCTGTATGACACCTATAGGGGAAATTGAACCTATTATTTACTTTTCTCCCAAATCCAGCTAAGTGAGACCTCATCGGACTGTTCTGGGTCTGCCGGAGAGTCATATTCCCATGTGCTGTTGTTGGCAGCGAGACAGCGAGGAAATCTGAAGCCAAGCCGATCTGAGCTGAGCCCAACTGATGAGACTCGAGCCTATTACAATGCTCAGTGATCCCAGACGACACAAATGGTCTGTCTCGCTCTTTCTGTCCCTCTCTCTCTCTGCTTCTACCTAACAGTGTGATACTTCTCTGGACTAGTGAGTCAGAATTTTCCCGTTCTCTCTCTCCTGAGAATTCTGCTTCGGCTTGTTCCTGTCTGGTTTTTCTCCCAGCCTTCTAGTCTCTCTCTGCGGCCTCTCATGTCTTCTGTAGCCTCTTTGTACTGGTATGTAGGGCAATATTAACTGTTTATACCATGGTCTGGATAAATACTCCATGCTGATTATAGCTCCTGGAAGGATTTCTTAGTTTGTGTTGATTTTGGCACCTCTTGTGGACAAAGCTGTACATCTCATCTACAATATTTCCTGTACATATTTTAATTTTATGCCTTTATTAAATAGACAGCAGAGTGGATAGAGTTGAAAATCAGGGAGAGAGAGGGGGATGACATATGGTACAGGAGCCACAGGTGGGATTTGAACCTGGCCGCCATTTCAAGGACTACAGCCTCCTTACAGGGGTTACACGAACTGACCACTAAGCCACGCCCTCCAGGTAAGTCATGTTTTCAAAGGTCACATATTATGCAAAATATACTTAATCATGTCAAACACCAATATGGGTCCCTAGTGCGTCTACAAACCCCCCAATTATGAGAAAAGTCCATCCTCTCCGCCTTTTTCCTGCTCCACTTTTCAGAAAACTTTAGCTCAAACAGGCTGTTTGGAGATTTTCCCTTCATGGTAAATGGACTTGAGCTTATATAGCGCTTTTCTAGTCTTCTGACTACTCAAAGCGCTTTTACACCACATGTCACACCCACCCATTCATACCCTTTCAATCACTGATGGTAGTGATTGCTATGTAGTATCATCCATCAGAAGTAACTAATCCATTCATACACCACCACTGAAGCAGGGGGAGCAAGGACACAATGCACATGTTGCTCAGCTGGGGATTGAACCCTCAACCTTCCAGTTGAGAGGCGACGACTCTACCAACTGAGCCACAACCGCCCCTTGACATGACATCATAAAGGGCAGTAACCCCTCCCCCAGGTGGGTGACACTCCCACAGCTAGGTGTTTGTTCTGTCCCTTGGGTTGGCCTTATCACCGTTAACAATAGGACATGGAGCGAGAAAGCCTGAGACACCCAAGCCTTTCCAGAGAGGGGGGGGGGGTGGTCAGACACAGCTTTTTACATATTTAAAGGTACAGACACAGAAACAGCCTGTTCTGAGCAGGGCTGAAATAGAGGGGTTTATAGACATGATCAAATACAGGATCAGAGTGGATTTAGAACAAGAAACTTCAGACATGTTTTTGGGGTGATCTCGGACTTATTTAAACTGGTTGAAAATGACTTTAATGTGTGACCTTTAACAAAAAAAATCTCACCCTGCGTTCTTCTAGCATATTAGTGTATCACTCATCAGAAAATGTCAGGAGTGCACTCAGATACTGTGGGGTCTTTGGATTAGACTTGTTATTTTTTGCAGAAAAAGGTGTAGATGTTTAAATTAATCCCAAATGTAGGCTATATAATATCTTTATAATGCAAGATTTCACTCATGACTGGCTGTTTAAGCTAAACACAAAATCAATATGGAACAAGTTTACTGGCTCTCACAAATAAACACAAATTTGCTTTATTTCTACTTCTTGTCCACCGTTTCTGTTGGCTAGAAGATTCCATTATCAATCTCAATTATTTGTAGACTTAGTTCATTAGAATATACAACATGGTTTCAGACCTTCAGTATGTTTTTTTTGCCTCAGCACAGAGACAGGAAGTGAGTTTCACCTGATCATTAACAAGTGAGATCAACGCCTCCACATGCCTCAGCACACCCTCCTTCACTCCGTCCTACATTTTTCTTCATCTCCTTTCGTCTTTCCCCCCATCAGTGATTAATTTACACACAGTGGCACACACACACACATTATTTTTAACACTCCCTCAGCATTATTCAAGGCTCGCCTCTCCCTCTCTCTCTCTCTCCTCACACACTCTCAGTAAGAATCATTAGCACTGCCATCACGCTGGAGAAATTTGTCTGTCTGTTTTCCTCCCTTTTCCTGACATTTATGACTCCATGTCTAAAATTTATGGACAATTTGGCTCACTCAAAATCTATCAGATAAAGAGGCCGGGGGGGTTGTTTTCCATAATGGGTGACCGCGCGGCCCCAAAATCTCCATCTCTCTGCCGAGTTGGTGATTCATGACACCATCAAGCAGAGACGACAGCTAAGTGACTGGCTGGCTGAGGCCTGTTCATTTAACTCCCTACAAGGACGTGGGGTATTAAAAAGTCAGCGCCAGGATTTGCAGAAGTCAAACTGCCCGGCAGTGA